TAAAAATGGCTATTGGGAAGACTCCATGGATAGTTTTCAGTCATGCTGAGTGATTGATTGTGGGGGCTAGATATATTTCCCTCCAAAGCAGAATGGATAACAACTTATCAAACATCCTTGTCCTGTAACAAGTGATGTGGCTTAATTGTTTGTGTCATGTGAACACTTTGTTCTCCAGGCATTGTGCTGTCTTGCACCTGTGTCTCTCTATCTTTGTGTTCCATCATTATGTGTTGATCTATGAGGTTCTGAAAGAAGGAAATAGGAAGCCAAATCTCTCTGATTAAGTTCATTTCCTCTATGCCTGTCAATTATGTGGAGACAAACTACTGTGCTACTGGAGCTAAATCAGGGTTAGTGTGAGTATAACACAAAATGAGATGTCACTTCCCTCCTTCCAACTGAGAAGACCTATGGATTCAAAAATTTAGTGTCAGAGACCTCCTGGTGAGCCCTTACTCTTTGAGCTTCAGACTTTTGCTATCATTAGATCTCATCCTGTTTTGTTTATTTGCTGTACTGTTACATCCAGCCTAGCGCTATGCATTTTTCCCTTCTCCCTGTAAGTCATCACTGAGGTAATTGGCCTCAGACAATTACCAGCTTTTTATTTACCAATTATCAGATTTCTCCAGCTTTTTCTCGGTCTTCTTACTTTCCCTCCATTGCAATGGCTGCCAGCTCTGCTTCTCCCAGTCTCCTCTTGTTCCTTCCCTCTCTTCTACCATGTCATGGCCTCCGACTTCTGGTCTATCCTGACTGACCAGTTGAGACCAAGATTTAAAAAGAAGCAGACCATTTGCCTCAGCACTACCTCTCTATGTTTGGATTAAATAGAACAAATGTGTATTGATATATTGGTTATCCCTTCTGTATTCTATTTTCCCATATATCATATAAATTCATCCAATGGCCCCTTTGTTAGTTTCTCTTTGGCCTAACAACTGCCACTGAATGAAAGCAAAGGACTTTGCAGCTACACAAGCCAGCCACTATTGTTAAAATCCGTGTTATTCTACAGTTATCAGGGATTCACTCAACACTATATTGAGTTATTAATGAGCCTACTATTCCATGTGTTGTAATATTCTTGATTTACCAGTTACACTGATGTACTTCAAATTATGGCAGTGGAAACTCCTACACATACTTGAAAGCTACACATTTTGCAGCTACAGCATCTCAGATCAAGTTAATCCACACTCATTCCAGTTTCATGAGCATCCCAGGAGCCCTTACTACACACCAAGCACATATTGGGATAAAGCAGTGAATCTACTGTTCAAAGGGGGAGAGGGAGGAGAAGCCAGCATTTCCTTTAGTGTGCCCAAGTTCTTGAACATGCCTAAATAACCCTGTTGGATCCTAGCCATAAACTCTTCAGGCTCAAACTAAACATAAAGGCTCCAGATCCACCCCTTTCAGTGGGGGAAGGGTCTGTCTAAAATCATATGAAGCAGGGGAAGGAAGTCCAATTGTGAGAGTTAAAAGAGAAAGAGAAACAAACCTCATTCCATTGCTAAGATGTCAATTCTGAAGTCATACAGTAAACGAATCAACATTTCATTTTGGGTGCCTTTTTATTTGCTGTCCAGCATCTCTTCTTGTTGACAACTGCATAGTAAGATGATTGTGTTATGCTAACTTCAGATTATTTCACCGTGGGGCTGTTGAAATTAGTCCCATTGAGGAATGTAAAGAATCTACTTGAGTCATTAAAATATTCTCAAGTGGGAGCAGCTCAAAGAGCTGAGGGAATAAGTACAGTGGATATCTATCGGAAAGGCCATGAGACAATGTTGTGTTTTTACATTTCCCAATCTTAATTTAAAGCATGCCAAAATTCTAATAGAAACATTCAAAAATGTGGTTTATGACCAGTTCAGAAATCCTTAATGATATGTTTGAAGAGCAAATATGTCATGCCATGTATTTTTATACTTTTTGTCCCTAAATTGTTTTTGTTTTTAAAAAGCGGAATTGTTTTTATAAAGCGGAATTGGAATGCTGTAATGTAAGTGGAGTAGCAACAATGCTTTCTCCCTCCTGCCATTTATTGCCATGGCAGAAGTTTGGGTGGAGGACACTGAGAAGAAAATGGTGGTTTTAAACAGTCGCAAAAGGTATGAATAAAGGAGAGATGAAGGGACATTGAGAGGTTGTATTTTTTTAAAAGAAAAAACCCAAACATAACAGTTTTTAACAATGAGAAGTATAACACAGATCATAACACCAAAAAGTGAAAACAACTGAGCCTTTCCAAACACCCTCCTTACTGTACTGAAATGTTGTTTTAAACAATCACTTCCCCTCTCAGTGTCATCCCTTGCAAACTCCACACAAACCTCTGCCATTATTTAAAATGGCTACTTTTTTCCTTTCAGAGTCCCTTCCTTCTTGCTGTACTCAAAGTTCTCCTTCTTCCATTTATCAGCTGCCTCATGTGAGATAGATAAAGGATGTGGAGCCCTCAAATATTCCATAGTACTTTACTCAAACCTCTGCCATTGCTTAAAACTGACACTTTGCTCTAAGTTCTCTACATTCGTGCTTTAAATTCTTCTGCTGTTTTAAACCACAACTTCCCCCCTCTCAGTGATTTTCCATTCTCGCTCCTGTACCACAGCCACTGCTGTTGTACAATCTGCCTTCATTTTTGCTCCCCTATCCTACTCTGCCTTCATGAAAATTCAGGACTGTGAAGAGGTACTACAAATCCTCCAATAGGGGTGAATGATGACAGCCTTGCATTTTTATTATATATAGAGAAATATGTAACAAAACACATTTCTTTAGTACATTGTACATTAAGGTGTGTAATAAATGAGAGAGTTTTCTGAAAGAAATCAGCCAGCGTTGCGTCTTCAAATTTTATCAATTTCTAATCTCCAATATCTAATGCTTTCAACTACCATTTATCAATGTAGGTGAAAAAGATTCTATCCATGAGCTAATACAATTTTAGCTGCTACATAGGAATTCACAATTCAAATGCCCCATAAAAATAAGCATCTCAGGAGCTGAATATATTATTTTCTTGGTGTTTTGAGAGCTTGTCCACAATCTTTGAGGATATCCAGCCAAGTCTCAGTCAGCACAGACCCACTGAAATCAATTAAGCCCAAAGGCTCAGTTCCACATATGACGAATATTGGATGCACCTCATTTGTAGGTCTAAATTGAAAAGTTGCAGCAAAATCCTTCCTTTTGAGATGGTAGGGGAAGCTCAAAGTGATTTAATTCTTCTGAAACATCCACCTCAATTTCAGAGTGATAACCAGCAACCCTTCAATGCCTGTATCTCAGTGTTTCCCAACCGGTGTTCGCTGCACACTAGTGTGCCGCGATATGTTGCCTGGTGTGCCGCGAGATGTTGCCTGGAGGGAGGCGGGCGAGGGCGTTTGCTTCCCGGAGGACGGAGCGAGGCGCCCCCTGCTGGGCCGGGGCTCGCTCTCCCCAGAGGGTAAATCTGGATCAAATGGGGCGAGGGGCGGGCAGAATTCTGGGGGCCACTGATGCCCTACAGACCCCCCCAAGTCCTCCGGGGCGCGCGCTCTGCTGGGCTCTTTTCGGTCGTCGTGCTTGTGGGAAGCCGCCCCTTCCCTGGGCGACGCGCCGCCTCGCGACTCCGGAGTCAGTCCCGCGGGCTCTCGGAGGGACTCGCGAGCGACGGCGCGGCAGCTCCGGGGCGCGCTCAGCCAGGCCGCCGCGCGCCCCCGCGCAGCCCCTGCTGCAGCTGCCCGGCGTGGAGCGCGACGCGGAGCCGGCCGGGCTTGGAGGCGCCCAGGTAGGGCCGAGCCAGGCGGGGGCGGGGAGGTCTCGGTCTGCTGCGGGCGCAGGAGGGTGAGCGGGAGAGGGGGAGCCGTCGGGTCTCCTGGAAGGAAGCGAGGCGGCGGCTGAGGGGGATGCAGCCCCGTCCCCAGCAACAGGCGCTCCTCGAAGTGAGGCCACAAGTCGGGGCTCGGACAGGGCCTGGAAGCAGCGGCTCCGGCTCTTGGGAAGGGGACTTCGAAAGCGGCCTGGAGGAGAAAAGCCCCGATGCAGCGAGAGCGGGGAGCGTGCTGCCTTGTCCAGGCCTCCTCGCTTTGTGCCGTCCGCTGCCGGGAGCAGGACACGGGGGCTCCTCGTTCGCATGCTTTCCCGGGTGATCGGTGAGGGTTAGGGTTAGGGTTAGGGTTAGGGTCCCTCAGTCCCTCACTTTGCTGCCTCCTCCCCCCCCACCCCCAAAGCTTGGAGGTTCCCCGGCAAGGGGGAGGGAAAAAAATTGAAAGTTACACTTTCGTGCGTCCCTCCCGGCGTGATGCTGCGCGCTGACGTCACGGGGCTGTAATGGTGGTGTGCCTCGATATTTTTTTCATCAAACAAGTGTGCCTTTGCCCAAAAAAGGTTGGGAAACACTGCTGTATCTAGTGGTTCAGGGTGGATTCTGTTGGGTCTACATACCAAAGCCAATGTTCAAACTTGTCCACATGCTAATAGCTCTCCAGCTTTTTCAACCATAGAGGACGGTGGGCTGACTCCCACTTCACAAAGCCACTGATTATACATGCAAAGCACTCTATTATCTGGTTTTCCTCCTCAAAAATGAGAAGGTTGTTGGACTTGTTGGGAGTGGGAGAACCCATGTCACACAGAAAAGGAAAACTGCCTCAGGTTTCCATGGACAATGATCCTGGACCTTAAGGCTGTATTGCAGGGGTGGGGAGCCTACGACTCTCCAGATCTTACTGGACTCCAACTTCCATCAGTCCCAGATAGAATGATCAAAGGGCTATAGGAGTTGTAGTCCAGAAACAACTGTAGGGCCACAGGTTGCCCACTTCTGCTGGGTTGGGTTATCTATTTTTGTTACTGATAGGAATAAAAAAGAGCATTAATGGTGACAAATAAATATAACAAAATGTGTAAACGTTCACATGGATAAAACATTTCAAATATTTTTCAACTTGTGTTATTGGTTTTCTTTTGCTGACTTGTTCAAGATTTCAGGCCCATTTTCTCTATGTGTTTGTTCCAAACAGTCTACGAAGAGCACTTTGCACATCCTTGTTCCTGAAGCTGTAGATTAGAGGGTTCAGCAGAGGGGTGATGATGGCATAGAGCACAGAGACCAGCTGCTCCTGTTCAGTGGAATGGCTGGAGGATGGAGTTAGGTAAGTGAAGATGATGGTTCCATAGAAGATGCTCACCACAGTGAGGTGGGATGCACAGGTGGAGAAAGCTTTGATCCGACCCTGAGATGTACGTATTTTGAGCACAGTGAAGACAATGAAGATGTAGGAGAGTAGAGTTAGGAAGAAGGACACGGTAATGCCACATCCAGAGACTGTAAAGGTCACCAGTTTGCTCAGTCTTGTGTCAGAGCAGGAGAGGTGCAAAAGGGGAGGAATGTCACAGAAAAAGTGCTCTATTTGGTTTGAATTACAGAAGTCAAGGGAGAAAACCAAGGCTGTGTTGATGATAGAGTTGAAGTTGCCAACAGTCCATGAAACTGTTAGCAATCCTTTACAGGTTGGCTGGCTCATCAGCACGGTATAGCGCAATGGGTGGCAGATGGCTGCGTAACGGTCATACGCCATGGCTGAGAGGAGTACACACTCTGTGCCTCCTAAAGTGACAAAGAAATACATCTGGAGAGCACAGCCAGTGAAGGAGATGGTCCTGTCTCCTGACATGAGGTTCCAGAGCATCTTTGGGACAGTGGAAGAGGTGTAGCAGATCTCAATGAATGAAAGGTTGCCGAGGAGGAAGTACATGGGTGTCTGGAGGCACCGGTCCACACAAATCAAAGTCATGATGGCTAGATTTCCTACTAAAGTTAGCAGATAGATTAAAAGTACTAAGGAAAAAAGAAGTTTCTGTTGGGCTGGATCACTGGATAAGCCCAGGAGGATGAACTCTGTGACAACTGTGTGGTTCACCTTCATTCTGCTCATTTTTGACCATCTTTTATGATAGGGCTATAAGACTCCTTGTACCTGAAGCACAACAGCAGATGTTATAAATGTATACTATTAGTGAGAAACAACATCGAGAAGCTAATTTAGAATTTTCTAGGTTTCACCAAATAAATTTCTGGAGAATTATGGAACTGATTGTAGCCAACAGGGACATTGCTAGGTACTTAAAGCACTTAGGACAGAGAGACCCATGACACCATTTTGCATAAATGTAAACAATACCTCTGGGCAAAATAATATCATAGGTTGTTGGGATCTCACCGGCAATGCTCTTTACAGTGTGTCCACTTGCCCTGTAAGCATTTTTTTTAAGCATAAAAGAAATGAAACATGAAACATCCAAATATATAAATGCCCCACCTTTTTAGAAAATCTGAGGTTCCTGTCTAACAAAGCTGCTTTAAAAGGGACTTGTAGCATGTAAAGCAAAGCACATAGAACCATAGGGAGTGAGGTTGTGACCAGATGATTTCAAGACCCCTAGCTGTTCTTATTATGGTTCTTTAAATTTTTTAACCAGACTTGGATCAGACAGCTTCTTAAAGAGAGAACTCCCTAAAACCAAGGACTATCTTAGGGATCACTGGATTTTGCACACCTTCCTCTGTGAGCAGAGAGAGAGAGAGGTCTGTCCTTGAAAGCCTGTTCCTAGCTGCTGTGGAAAAGCGTGCCACAGTTGGTGCACTAATGGTGGAGAAGGGGGAAAGGAAGCATTCTGGTGTGTGTTTGTGCATCTCTCTCTCTCTCTCTCTCTCTGTGTGTGTGTGTGTGTGTGTGAGAGAGAGAGAGAGAGCGCGCACTTTGGGTCATCTGGATCCAAAACTCTCCCATTTCTCCAACACTCTAGCCACCTATCACTCTAGCCACCCATCTTCTGTCATGACTGACGCAAGACCAGTAGAGCTCAGGATTTGGCAGAATCATAGATTCTCCCTCCCCTCCCCTGCTACAGAGGAGTGCTCCGTTACAGTGCAACCTCATATATGTATCCACTGAAGTAAATCCTTTTGTGGTAAGTGGATATACTGTTGTCATCTAAAATTACTTACCATATACTGAGTTACTTTTAAAAAATGATTTCATTTGTAAATGCCAAAAAATGATAAATAACAAAGTGCAATACTAAAGATCTCACCAAGTTTTAAGTACGTCTTTACCTGTGCCATGCTCTTTATGCTTTTGTTTAATTGCAAGGAGTCATCCCTTTTGTAATCTCATTCCAGAAAAAGATGTAGATAAAGATAGTATTTTCTTAAATCTCACAGACCAGTTTCAGTAGCTTGCTGCTCTACTTCTGCCTCCTCCACAATGCAGCTGCAAACTACATTACACCAGGTGTAGTAAATAATGCAGCGAGGTGTTCCTAGGGGATTGTGCAAATGTCTACTACATAAGGTCTTGATCTCTACAGACAGAATTAGTAGTTACTCGTGGAAGGTTTCCTCTAAGGACAGCTTAATATACTGTACAATCAGCACTGAGGATCTTATCAGACCTTTTGCTAACCATTAAAAAACAAAATTGACATTGGGATTTTCCATCAGCCTGTATTGTCATGATAAGTTGTTGTAGAAACAATTGGAAGATATATAGCTGGATATCCTGTACATATAACTTCAGTAGCTTTAGGCTAATTTGTCCAATAAGGCTCATGGCAAAAGGAATTCAACTCCCAAAATCCACAGTCATCATGGTCAACAGTCAGAGATGAGACTTGTAGTACAACAATATCTGGAGAGCACCATGTTGGCCACCCCTGACTTAGGATATCACCCAATGTCTTTTAAACTAATCTGATGAATTTTGTGATGGATCTTAACTTTTCAATTTACTGGTCCCATATCTATTATCTGTTCTTCCCAAGTGCTCTCTGAAGTGCTCCCTGCACTTCCTTGTTCCTGAAGCTATAGATCAGGGGGTTGAGCATGGGAGTGATGATGGCATACAGCACAGAAACTAGGCGGTCCTGTTCCATAGAATGAGTGGAGGAGGGCCGTATGTAGGTGTAAATGATAGTACCAAAGAAGATGCTCACCACAGTGAGGTGGGAAGCACAGGTGGAAAATGCCTTGATTCTACCATGAGCTGTGCGGATTTTGAGCACCGAGGAGACAATCAAGGCATAGGAGAGAAGGGTCAGGCAGAATGGCATAATGATAACACACCCAGAGATGGTGAAGGTTATGAGCTGGCTGACAAATGTGTCAGAACAAGAGATGTGCAGAAGGGGAGGTATGTCACAGAAGAAGTGGTCAATCTCATGGGAGTGGCAGAAATTTAAGGAAAAGACCATTGCTGTGTTGACCATGGAATTGAAGTTGCCAACAGCCCATGAAACTGCCAGCAGACTCCTACGTACTGGTGGGCTCATGAGCAGAGTGTAGCGCAATGGGTGGCAGATAGCTGCATAGCGGTCATATGCCATGGCTGAGAGGAGCACACACTCTGTGCCCCCCAATGTGACAAAGAAATACATCTGCAGTGCACATCCTACAAAGGAGATTTTCTTGTCTCCCAACAAGAGATCCCACAGCATCTTGGGGACTGTGGTGGAAGTGTAGCAGATCTCAATAAAAGAGAGGTTTCCCAGGAGGAAGTACATGGGTGTGTGGAGGTTCTGGTCCACCCGAATTAATACAATGATGGCCAGATTCCCCGACAAAGTCAACAGATAGGCTGAAAGTCCTAAGGCAAAGAGAAGCATCTGATTCTTCACATCAATAGAGAATCCCATGAGGATAAACTCTGTGACACTTGTTGTATTCTGTCTTCCCATAGATTTGAGGGTCTCCATCTTTGGTCAGGATAGTGAGCCTTCCTAAGTGGGAGGGGAGGTCACAGCAGTTTGATCTGTTAATGCTGGTAGTTCTGTAAATAAGAAGCAGTGAGTCAGTTAGACTGTTTGCAAATAAGCTTTTATTGTTCACCTACAGTTGTCATTGTAATTTCACAGAATGTCTAGGCCAGGGCAGAAGGCAGCCTGTGGGTAACTGCAGTCAAATATAACTAGCTAGCTTAGGGCTAGTTAATGCATGAATGGGCTAAGACCATAGAATTGTATTCTTAGACTCAGTTAGGTCACACCCCCTCACCTCTGGTGAAGTGAAACTTCCTTCTTCACTTGCTTTCACCATGTGAATTCATCAAGATAGGATGTGATTGAACTTGCTCTCTAAAAACTCAGACCATGTGCTTAGACCTATTTCACTATTTTTGTATACTATTCTGGTGTTATTTGCTTCCAGAAAAAAAATCTGTTTGCAAATAACAAGAAAATATGTGTTAAATCTACAATATATTCCACCATATTTCCAGAAGCGGCTGTTATGTTGTGTGAAATATCCAATACAATGTGGCAGTTAATAGTTAGTGAAGCAATGGGAAAATAAAATAAACTGCTGTATCAATGCAGAGTAGACTACTTGAAATCAATGGCATTAAGTAACTTCAGTCCCTTGATCTTAATGGATCTATTCTGGGTATGCCTATGTACTGATGGGTATGCCTATGGCAATGTACTGATGGGAGCATTAAAATGCAGTTCCCATAGGATAAAAAGTATTAATGCTAAATAAATCAGGAAAGATGATTACAGGATAATTCTGTAAAATTACTCTAGAAATCTATGCATATTATAAAGCAAACCTAAAACATTTGCAAATCTTTAAACTAGAAATACAAGGAAACATTTAAAATGTAAAAAATAATCAATAAACAATTCATGATTCCAAGGCTAGTAAGAAAATCTTAAGTGCCAGGAAGCCATACTTGAACAACTCCCCTTCTCTGCTACATAGGATGCTAAAAGGGCACTTGTAGAGGCAGGTTTCATTCCTAGTCAAGGGTTGGTATGCAGCTAAAATGTTCAGAACAAGTTCTGCATGGTTCCTACCCACTTCTACAAATGAACAACCAGTTACAGTGGTAACTCAGGTTACATACGCTTCAGGTTACATACGCTTCAGGTTACAGACTCTGCTAACCCAGAAATAGTACCTCAGGTTAAGAACTTTGCTTCAGGATGAGAAGAGAACTCATGCTCCGGTGGCATGGCGCAGTGGGAGGCCCCATTAGCTAAAGTGGTGCTTCAGGTTAAGAACAGTTTCAGGTTAAGAACAGACCTCCAGAACGAATTAAGTACTTAACCCGAGGTACCACTGTATTACCAAGAACAAAAAGGCATTTCATATTTCTGACACAGATGCCCTATGTCCCTCTCCAGGAACCCAAATACAGGCCACTTCCACAATTACATGAATATGCTGTTCATGAGGGTTTGGGGAGAGGGACAGGACTGGAGAGGAGCAGTTCCCTTGGTAAGTGCATATGATACCTATAAGCTATTCTGGTATGAACTCCAAAACTTTTATTTAGAGCACAATGCTACCTCCCTCCCTCCAATGTTAATGGGTGGTGTGGTGTCTGAATGCTGTCAGTGGCTCCTGGCTGGTTGCCCAGGAAAGTATAAAGACAAGGAAAGGTTTCTTACCATCCTTTCTTATTTCAATATTTACAGAGAGAGGCTATAGAACCCAGCCTCTTGGATAATGGCGTTGTCCTGAGTGAATCTTCCCCCCCCCCCGTCTCTCTCACTTCACCATTTGGCACTTCTACGGGTGTTGCTATGTGCCCTCTGTCTTTGAGCTCTTTGCTCTCTTACTTTCAAGGCTCACTGGGTTCTGGGAGATGGATGGTCTGGGATGCTTTCTAATGACACCGTGTCAGCCAGCCACCGTTCCCCTTCTGCCTCCTCCTCCTCCTCTCCCATTATTTCCCAACTTTCCCCCTCATCTGCCTCTGAGCGGTGACCTCCCGCAAACCACTGTTGTAAATCTACACTGTCTTTCTCTTCCTCCTCCCTGGAAGGGTCAGGAAGGGGAGGCGGTCTCCACCGTTCCCCCTCTGCCCAGTCCCTGACAGGTGGGTATGTCTACTTGGTGACAACACTGAAGTTAAGAAGAAGGAAGGGTTAGTTA